AGTGAAGAAAGCCATCTTGGAGGGCCACATGTTGGACAGTGACTCAAAAGAACAGGGTTGGGATGCAGAAAGGGCAAATGAGTACATTGAGTCCAAAAGCAGCCCAAAGCAGGCTGGTCTGTGCTGTATGTGGCTGTACACAAACCAACCACAATGAAACTGACCAAGTCTGCTTCTGTTGAAGCATTTTAAAGTAAACTCTACCAAGACGTTTTACCTCTAAAGCCTTCAGGAGATATCTCTAAAACGCAAAGCAGCTTCTTACCTTCTGTTGGGTGGCTATAAACGGTGGAGCACCAGCAGCTGCTGGACTGGGTTTACCAGGCAGGGAGAACAAAAGAGCTGGTGCTCCTCCATGGGGGTGGGGACTCCCACACCTACACTGCATGATTCCATTTCTTTGGGGGTAATCAAGTCATGAAGGTGAAGCTCATGGTGCTGTGGGACTTTATAAAAAAAGGAGACCCTCCCAGGTGGTGGTGAGGGGGATGAAGGGGTCTGGAAAGACTCCTCTCAGGAAAACACCCTCCAGGCAGAAGGAACTGCATATGGAATGGCCCTGCCTGAAGAGGAGGAAGGGCAGCAGCTGAACCAAGAGGTAAGCATGGGTTCCAGGGTCACCTCTACTTTAGTGACCCATTAGTCCCTGTCCTCAGCATCTCCATCTGCAGAATGGGTCAAGTGAAAGCTGTGTTTGAAATGATGGTCAACACTAGTAAGCATTTAACCACCTTACTGTAACATGTTGGTTAAGAGTATGTCCAATCTGCTGGAAGACGAGTAAGGAAAACTCTTAAAGACACTGGCCTTGAACAAACCCTGATTGCACAGGAATTGTCACAAAGAATCAACAACTGGGATCTCATCTTAAAAAAAGCTTTTGTACAGCAAGAAAAACCACCAACAGAGTGAAGAGACAACCCACAATGTGGGAGAAAATGTTTGCCAGCTGTTCCTCAAAAGATTACTATCAAGAATATAAAAAGAACTAAAAAAAAAAAATCAGTCTTCCCAGATTTAAAGACCCAGTCCAAAAGTGGGTATCTGAGATGAACACACACTTCTCAGATGAAGAAATATGAACATCAAATAAATATGTGAAAAAATATTCAATATCACTGGTCATTTGAGAGATACAAATTACAACATTGAGATTCCACCTCACACCAGAAAGAATGGCTGTTATCAAGAAATTAACCAATAGCAAATGCTGGAGGGGCTGTGGGGAAGAAGGAACCCTTCTCCACTGCTGGTGGGAATGCACACTGGTGCAACCACTATGGGGATCGGTGTGGCGATTCCTCAAAAAACTAGGATTGGAAGTCCCATTTGACCCAACTATTCCCCTTCTGGATATCCTCCCAGAATTAAAAACATCATACCACAGTGATATGGGTACACCTGTGTTCCTAGTAGCACAATTTGTATTAGCCAGATCTTGGAAACAACTTAAATGCCCACTGACTGAGGAATGGATAAAAAAAGATGTAGTACTTTTATACAATGGATTACTACTCAGCTATAAAGGACAAACTTGAGACCTTTATAGGTAAATGGATGCAATTTGAGACCACACTCATAAATGAAGTAAATCAGTCTTGCAAATAGAAACATCATCTCACTAGAGTAAGAAGCTGAAACATCATCTCACTAGAGTAAGAAGCTGAAATAGTTATACTACTGATTTCTCTGAGTTCACTGAAGAGAAAGGTTTGCACTGGTACTGTTTGGATGATTGAATGCAGATGTCTTGTGCTCTGGGTGACTGATTTGGGGAAGGCAATGCACAATACGTGTAACATTGTTGTTCTGATTTCTTTGCTTTTCTCTTTGAAATAAAATGGATTTGCAAAAAAAATAAGAGTATGTCCAGAGCCATCACTAACCCCAGGGGAACGAGAAACATGGCAGGAAGGAGGTGAGAAGGTCAGCTTCATGTTCTTAATTCTCAGCTACACTTTCATTCCATGCCTGAACCTGACAGAGCTCATGTCCTCATGTCTTTGTCAACACTAGATGGGATTAAACCTTTCAATTTTTTGCCAACCATATAAATTTAAAAACCACATATGTGTATGCGTATGTATATGTACATAAAAATAGTTAAGATAGTTTAAAAATAAAAACAGCAGCTCCTTTTTAAAACACCATTTCTTTATGACAGGTTGAGTGGTTTGTATTTAATGACAATTTGCATTTCTTCTGGGAAATACTTGTCATTACTCAGTTCATTTTTTGATTTGTTTGTCATTTTGGTATTTATTTCCAGATGCTCTTTATATATTATGACATCAAATTTTTAAAAAATGACATTAACTCTCATTGGTTGTAGCAATTTTTTTCTCCCTGTCTGGCTTCGTGTTTCAATACTGATTTTCCTTCAAAGCGGATTTTTGCTTTAAAATTTTCTTACGTAGAGAAATGGAAAGAAGAGTGACCCTCCAGGTGCTCACCCTCTGGATTTAGAAGGGGATGGTGACATTTCATCATACTTGCTTTATTTCCGTGGAAGTATTTTAATTGAAATTAGACGTTAAGACAATTCTATCCTATATACTTTAATATTTATTACTTTAAGAGGTAAATTTTCTCACAAAACCACAATGTCATTCCCACGGATTTATATCTGACTCTAAAGCTTTTCATTTTTGTAGTCGAAGCTGTCTGACTTTTGTTTCGCACCTCCATCCGTTTCAGGAAGGATTTCCTCATGCAGAGATCATAAACATGCTTACCTGTGGTGTCACCTGTGACTTTTATAGTGTTATTTTTTATATTTGGATTCTCGGCCCATCTGAGGTGCAGAGCTTACCATTTGGTAGACATTTAGGTAATTCACTCTTAAGCAGAACTTTGAAATGTTATCCTAGCAAATTCCAAGCGGCTATAAATACGGCAGCCCACCTTATTTTCCTGCTTAAAACTGAACCGTTTCCCACTGTCCTTAGAATACAATTTAGATTCATTTCCCTGACCTAGAGACGGCTTCTGGAATTCATCTAGCACCCCGCGTCTGTGGGTGCTGGGCAGCGCGCTGACCTCACACACACACGGTTCCCTCTGCTCCTGCCCGGCAACGGCGCCTGCGGGTCACTCGCCCCGGCTGCTCCGGGCACTCTGTGCCCAGCTCGAGCCGCCACCCTCTCTCGTGTGGTCCCACAGCGTTCCCCCCTACTGCATCGTGAGGGGGGCCTTCGGGTGTGGTTCATACTGCAGCAGTCACTCCCAGTGGTGGAGCTGCTGGTTCAAAGCAGATGCACACTGACCGTTGGCACCGAGGCTGCCAAGTCACCCCGGGAAGCCAGCATCACAGGCCTCGGCACTTCTGCTCCTCCGTGCACAGTCTTCCCGCACCGCAGCAAGGCGCCCTGGCCAAGACGAAGGTAGTCTCGTCCGTGCTCTAGACTGCAGCTCTTCCCTTCTCCACTGTTGTAGGACGGTAGACTGGTGCAGTAGGGGTGGAAATCAGTGTGGAGAGGCCTCAGCAAACTAGCAGTAGAGGTCCCACGTGACCCAGCTATTCCACTCCTGGGTATTTTCCCAGAATTAAAACATCACACCACAGTGATATATGTGCACCTAGGCTTATAGCAGCACAATTTTTTCCCCATTTATTTTTATTTTTAAATTTTATATTTTCCAAATCCATTTTATTTCAAGGAGAAAACAAAAGAAAAAAATCTAAAAATTTCAAAACACATCAATCAGGGGGCAACAATGGTACACACATTGTGCATTGTCATCCCCAAATCATTCACCCAGAGCACAAGACATCTGCATTCAATTGTCTGAACAGTACCAGCACACATATTTCTCTTCAGTGAACTCAGAGAAATCAGTCGTACCACTATCTTAACTAGCTTTTTAATAGGCACATATATTTGCACATATACCCATGTTGTTTCTTTCAGCTTCTCAGGCTAATGAAACAATATGATATTTACACGTGTTACTTCACTTATAGAGTGTGGTCTCAAGTCGCATCTATTTATCTATAAAAGTCTCTAGTTTATCCTTAATGGCTGAGTAGTACTCCATTGTATAAAATATCACATTCATTCCTCAGCTGATGGGCATTTGGGTTGTTTCCAAGATCTGACTGTTACAAATTACACTTCTATAAACATGGGTGCACATATACTGCCATGGTATGATGTTTTTAATCCTTTTAGGAAAATACTCAGAAGGGGAACAGTTGAGTCAAATGAGACCTCTAATCCTAGTTTTTTGAGGAATCTCCACCTGCTTTCCACCATAGCAGCACAATTTGTAATAAGCTAAATCTTGGAAACAACCCAAATGCCCATTGACTGAGGAATGGATTTAAAAAGTGGTATTTTTATACAGTGGAGTACTACACAGCTATTAAGGATAAGCGTAGGGCTTTTAGAGGTAAATGGATGCAACTTGAGACCATACTCACATGTGAACTCAATCAGACTCATGTGTGTATACCAGTATACACAAATACCCTAGTATAAAAACTGGAAGCGTAACTAAGATCCAAAATGTACAAGAGCTATTGTGAAAGGGGAAGAAACTACTCAAAAGGAAAGAACAACTGAGACAGGTGAAAGGAGAAAAGATAGAAGGGGAAATAGATGTATATATGATAATACATATGTATTATGTATATACATATATATGTAGTATGCATATATGATAATTATACTAATCTCTATTCATTGAAAAGAATGGTTTGTGCTTTGTTTGGTCAATTTTTCATGCCTTTATCCTGTAATCTGAGTAACTATGTTGAAGATAAATACGCAGTATACTAACCACTGTTAATCTTTTGATTTTGTTTTGACATTCTGTATCATTAAGAGAAAGATGTGTGCTGGTACTGTTAAGACAACTGTAAGATGTCCTGTGCTCTGGGTGAATGATTCAGGGATGATAATGCACAATGTATGTATTATTGTTGCCCCTGATTGACATGTTTTGAAATTTTGTTTTGGTTTTTTCCCCCAAAATAAAATAGATTTTATAAAAAAGAATTTATGTATTTACGTACCATTTTTATTCATTTTTCTTTTTAACAAAACATTGCAATTCTTTACATTTAATTATAATTGGGCATGATTTCACACTTATCAGCCACATTTAAGTCTGTCTGCCTTCTGACTATCAGGACAGTCCCCAGCTTATGATAACTCACAATTTTAAAACTTCATGATGTAAAGCAGTGATATAGATTCATATAAGCAGAACTTCAAAATTTGAATTTCTATCTTTTCCTAGGCCGGCAATGGACCAAACTGTCTGAAATGTGGGTAGCAGTGGGGTGCCACAGCCCAGCCCGCCATGTATCCCTATGGGTCACAGGCACTGCCCTGCAGCGCACTGTGCTTCTGAGCTGCGGTGCCAGACAGCGTGAGTGTGATACTTACATTCTGGACTTAGGATATCTTCGATTACAATGGGTTTATCAGCCCGGGAGCCCACCAGAAACTGGGAAGCATCTGTATGGGGTTTTCCCAACCAGCTGTTCATGGCCTTTGCCAATCTTTCTCTTTGGTTATTTTCCTAATGATTTGTATGAATTCTGTTTATTGAAGAAGGAGTCTCTGTCATATGCGCTCTAAGCATTTATCCTAATTTTGACCTTGTTATGAACACAAATACATAAAATATATTTTGACTACAGAAGTCTTTTTTTTTTTTTTTTGTCTTTTTCCTTTTTATCGGTACCAGGGATCGAACTCACGACTGCCTGCTTGCAAGGCAGGCACTTATGCCTCTGAGCTAAACCTCCAGCCCTGACTGCAGAAGTCTTATGTTTAAGGTTGTCAATTTCATCAAATTTTCAGTTTTTTAACTATTCTTAGATTTTCCTTATTCCAAGATTGATTGAAATTGATCAACCTGACTCACATATGTGTATATAAATCATATATATATATATATATATATATATATATATATACACACATATTTATCATGTTTTAGCGTTGTGGCTTTATGATTTTAACTTTGAAAGTTTTAATCTATCTAGAACTCACTTTGATACAAGACATGAGATGGAGAACCCAGCCTGCTTACTCTCCCTCTCCGGAACTAGGCGCCAGACACACTAAGATCATTTGCGAACAACCCTCCCTCTTCATTAGGATTTGAAGAGCTGCTTTCATCATCACAGTGCCCAGTTCCCATCTGCACTGCCATGCATCCGTTATACCCTCTTTTCCTTTGATGTGTTTATTGGTCTATTTCTGTTTCTATCATCACAGAGTTAAGGTATTTTCATATTTGATAGGATTAGTCTTCTCTTTCGTTTTCTGGCTAATTATACATGTCTTGCTTTTTAAAACAATCTGCATTGTGACTACAGGACAAGGAGAGGTAAAGATAGATACCAGTTAGTCTCAGGGATTTGACAAGAGTATGCATACACAAAGCTGAACAGATCAGCAATTAAACTTTGTCCGTGTAGCACCTAACATGACCGTGGGCTCCTAGCAACTGGAGAAACACTGGCCAGACTGCCACTACCACTTAGCTGGGGCCACGGCAGCTGGCTGGTTGTCCCTGTCACTCTGGTAAAAACCTAGTTGTATGCACGAGGTGTATGAAATTATATGCTATATGCACTATTGTGCATAATTATACTCCAATAGAATGTTTTAAAATCTTTAAAATTCCTGCAAGTCTTGCTATATTGTTTTGTGCCAATTGCAGATAATAAGATGTGTTCTGTGCCCTTGAACAGGTCAGAGAAAGAGGCAGAGTTGGGGGGCCTTGGAAAACACCTGCTTAGCAGGAGCAGCCCCCCTCCCCCCACTGCCAGGTCTGACTCCCAGCGCACTGATCACCCAGCAATGCGCTGATGAAATGGATGGCACTGCTCTAACGTAATGCACAGGTACTGGTTCTGTTTAGAGTTCTGGTGCTTCTGCAAACAGATCTGTCTTCACCAAGGCCCCCATGGGTCTGAAAAGGAGCACGATGAGATCACAGGCCAGGCACAGTGTCCACGGGATGAAAAGATGTCAGCACAGTCTTCGTAGGGCCGAATTAGACAATAATGCCAAAGGCCAGGGCCCCTGGAGCCTTATCTTTTAGTCTTTATTAAAGGTCTCCAGAGATCAGTGGAAAATGTTACCCTCACCTCGTGGAGATCAAATTAAGGAGTGTGGCTGCAGAGAATCAAATATCTTGTACCGGGCTGTCACAAACACTTACTCAGACTCGAAGAACACACTCCACACCCTGCCACCCTGAGGCGATTCTGGCTTTTAGGCTTTTTGCTTCTCAGTTTTCAGTCTTCCTTTTCTTGAATACCCTGAGCACTCGTGTTAATGAAGGGCATGTTTTCTGATATGAAAATCTCCCTGTGAAGCAGATGCTGCTGCTCTCCAACATGGACAACCAAATGGTTATGTTTTACTCTCTAAAAATAAATTTCTAGCTGGGCATGGTGGCGCATACCTGTAGTCCCAGACCTCGGGATCCCAGGATTTGGGAGGCTGAGGCAGGCGGTTCGTTGTGAGTTCAAGAGCAGCCTGGGCTACAAAGTGAGTTCAACCCAGCATCGCTGAATTTTAACCATAAGTCTTAGGGTTACTCTGGGCCCAATGATAGGAGGCAAGCAATTGCTTGTCAGAGAACCAGGACTCTTGCTTCTTCAGGGCCCCTTGAAGGCCTCTTCATCTCCAATTCCCTGCCCACAGGCCTCCTTCCACTTCTGTCTCTGCCCTTCAGCTGGAAGGGCAGTTTCTCTGACCCCATGTCCCAGGGCACATGCTTTGCATATACAAGGTCCTGGGTTCAAACCCTGGTACCACCACCCCTCAAAACAAAGTTGCTGTGAAACTCAAATATGTAAGTGCAAATTATGGCCCCCGTGTCAGTTAAACTTCACCTCCAGCTTCTCAAAATCTAATTACAATGTTGCTGCTCCAAATGGCTTCTGATGAAATTCTATCAAGAGTCTCAGACCAGGGTTCAAGACATGACTGTGGGGCAAGCCCCTGCTGGTGCCAACCTGCAGGCCACTCAGAGCACATGCCTGGTGGGCAGCACAGGGGCTACACGCCTGTTCTGGGCACAGGTCTGCTCTGGAGCTCAAGGTGCAGGGCAACGATGGGGCAGGGTTGAGGGCTCCCTGCTGAGAAAATGAGGGGTGCAGACAGCAGGCAGGCAGAAGACAAAGTGACAAAAGAAGGCAGGACCCGGCTGGGCAAAAGTCATTGACCTGGAGGTCATCACTGTGCCCACACCTGGCCAAGCGGGTGGCACACACTTCTTCCCCTCACCTTTCACACTACCATCTGACGGTGATGAAGAAACCTTTGTGTTTTTAACCTGTGAATTTTAGCTGTCTGACGTTCCAAATATTCCTCCCACACTCAGTTAAGATTATGAAACGAGGAATGTGGCTTTGGAGAGGGAAAAGGGTATGATTAAGGAGTAAGGTACTTTTTGGGTCCGTATTTAAATCTTTATATTACTTTAGCACGTATGTTCTTAATCACATGATCTCTATTGTACAGCTTGGTATAACTGTTATCCATGATTCAGTAAAGAGCCTTGTATCATTCACAGACCTCACTTCGCTGAATCCTGTTTCCTTGTGTTATGTTCTCCAGGGTAAGCTCTGAGTCCAGGGTTGAGACAGGAGAGGTTTATTGAGGAGAGGTTCCCACCAGCAAGGTAGGGGCAGAGGAGGTGAGGAAGGCCTGGAGCCCAGCAAGGGTGTAATGTCCTGGAAATTCCCATGCCAGCCGAGAGGGGGCCGGGAGGCAGGGTGGCCCCAGAGCTCTCCACATGGGTTAAGTGGCTCGGGGTCAGGTGTAAGGTGCCAATCTTTCACTGCAGAACACTTAGCTGGTGCTGGGCCACAGGGCTAGCAGCAACCTCAGGGGGCCACCAAGAGCACTGGCTGCAGTGTCTCACCTCCAGGACTGCCTGTGTCTGCCCCCAGCCCCAGTTAGGGGTCTTTCATCAGGTTCTGCTGCAAGAGGAAACGGACGATATCTGTTGAAAGTCCTGGGGTCTGCTTTTCGTCATCCAGAGATGCGCTTCCTTCGTGCAGTGGGTAGAAATGGGAGTCTCTGCAATGCCTCTGCAAGACTGAGCAACCATCACGGCTGAAGATGACCCGGGCCATCTGGAAGCTGCGCAGGGCGTACTTCCGGCTCCCCTGGCCTCTTAGTTCAGTGATTTTCTCAGACAGGCACTGGCGGACAGATGCTGAGAGCGGGTCCTCAGAGACCGGCTGGGGACGGCCAAACGCTTCATAGAATCTGTCCAGGGATTCTCGAAGTCCACTGTCCTCTTCCTTGGTCTTCAACTGGCCTTTGGCAGAAGGGTCAAGCCAGAGGTCCTCACAGGTCCAGGAGTCTTTCTGATCAGTATTCAGGCTGCTGCTGTCTGTAAGACAAAACCAACATTCTAGTTCTCAAACACACAATCAAAAACACCACAAAGCAGGCCAAACACAGGTGATGCCTCTTTTCAGCTTGGCACAAGGAACTCCCAGGGAGCAGGCAACAGCAGAGACAGCTGACTTCAGAAGCACATTCCTGGCAAATGCAAGGTCCTCAGTTCAATTCCCAGTATTAAAAAAAAATCAGCTGACTTCAGAAGCTGTTCCCCTCCTGTGATTATGCCCTCATTTGCTCCCAGTGAGAATGTGTCACTCCCGTGCACTGGGCATTGTTAATCCAAGGTCTCCATATGGAAATTCAGAGTGGCGGCACACTTGGATGGGAAAAGTCTTATTTTATTTTCACTAGCCTCTAATCTGAAATTAAGCACTTCCTTCTATGATGGATGTAGACAACAAACCACAGCTATAGCAGCAACCCTAGTAACTTAACAGTTACTAGGACACAACAGCAAGAGATCACAGCCGCAAACTATCTCCCCACAAAATCCATGTGTTGAAGGCTTAACTCTTCATGTGACTGCATTTGTAAAGGGTTTTTAGGAGGTAAAGTTAAATGGGGTAGCAAGGGTGGAGCTCTAATCCAGCAGGATTGGTAACCTTGTCAGGAGAGGAAGAGGAAGAGATGAGAGGACGAGAACGTGAACACGAATCTTCTCTCCCTCCATGTGCAAGCGTCAAGGAAAAGCCGCACAGCCACATAGCGCAAAGACAGCTGTCTGCACCTCACCAGGAGCCAGGCGGCCCCTGACCCTGTGCTACCAGCCTCCAGTACTGCTGCCGAAGCCACCGGGGTACGGGCCTGAGCAGACTAAGATGTACGACTCTGAAATCATCACAGACATCATGCTAGATGTTATGCACGCATTAATGAAAAAACATACTCATTATAATATACACTTGTTTTAAAACTTTTCAATAACTATTTTCAGTATTTTTTCTTGGTAATCCTAAACATGGTCTTTTATTTTATCCATTTAAAAATACCATTTTAGCTGGGTGTTGTGGTGCATGCCTGTAATCCCAGTCCTTGGGAGGCTGAGGCAGGAGACTTTCAGTGAGTTCGAGGTCAGCCTGGACTGCACAATGAGTTCAAGGTCAGCCTGAACTACATAGTGAGACCCTGTCTCCAAAATCAAATCAACCATCCAACCAACATACAAACACGTACATTATTTTTAGGAAGATCACTTGAAAAGAAGTTCATCTGATTAAACAGTTCTAAAGATTTACACAGTTACCTCCTTTTTGGAATCCTTACAACAATCTTATAGACTGTTCATATCTAAATTAAAATACTGTTTTTGTGTTTATTGAAGAGAGAGTAAAAGATAAACTATAAGTGACTTAACAAAAGCCAAATCCTAAGCCGGTCGTGGTGGCTCACACCTGTAATCCCAGCACTTGGGAGGCTGAGGTGGGAGGATCTTTGTGAGTTTGAGACCAGCCTGGGCTACAAAGTGAGCTCAAGGCCAGCCTGAACTGCACAGAGACCCCGTCTCAAAAAAGACAAAAAAAAAAAAAAAAAAGCAGAAAAAAGCCAAATCCTAACCTCTGACTTACTTCTCTGTGTTTCTCTGGCCACTGTTATTCTAAACACAGTGATCTCTTAGGTCTTTTGAAACACACGACTTTCCTTTTATCAGTGTATTCATGCGAAGATTTTGTAAAAAAATAAAATTAGAATTATTTAACCTTTATAGTTCCTCAAACAGGAATTCTACCAGTTTTATTACAATGTTATACTTTGTTTTTTTGCCTTTATTAATTTTTTAATGTAAAGATAGTAAACTCCAATAAAACGAAACAGAACAAAGTCAATCAAAACAAAGCAGCAAAATTGGTACAGAACTTCAAAGCAGGATACTAGGAAAACAACAGTAGCTATCGTAGTATATCTTGTTATCTTCACATTAGTTGTCCATTCAGTCCGGTATAGCAAAGTCAAACCAAAACAAGACAAAACAGAACAAAACCAATCAAAACCGAACACTGAATAAAGCAAAACAATCAGAACAAACAAAACAGTGAGAACAATATTGGACTTCAAAGACAAGATTGGAGGAAATCCCCCATATTTGCTATCCTGCACAGTCACCCTCCCAATAGATGCTCAGCCCTCTGTTCCCAAGCCTGCAAAATCAAACAGACAAGCATTAGTTGCTTTATGTACCTTAGTTGCTATCAACTCAGCCTGCCTGGCACCAGTAGGCTCACAGCAGGTACTATCTGACTTTTCTCTTGGCCCCCGCATAGCTTGTGTAGCTTAGCAGAAAGATTGGCTGAAAGGGCAAGACAGGACACTGTAGCCAGGAAAGCCTCAACCGGAAGCAGGAAGCCCCTATCTTCCCCACCCCTCGGAATTTACCTGTGACGCCATCTTCCCGCCCCTGGAAATTTACCTATGGCACCAAACCTAGGACCAAAGGGCTACCTGTGCATCCCTAATGCCCCCCCCCCTTAGGTTCCACCCCAAACCAAGGCTACTTATGTGCCTCACTCCACATGTTCCACGGAGAGATCACCGGACGCCAGCGGTGGGGGGTGCCAGTCTTCTCTCTCCGTGTTCTCAGAATAAAGGCCACTTTTTGTTTTACACTTCTCATCTTTTGGAAATATTTTTCATCTTTTGGAAATAATCCTATCACTGGCTAGCTGGCTTCTTGATGGTCTCCTCCCAGTCCCAGCATGGCCAATTCTCAAGAGGCACTGACTTTTCTGTTTGTTTTGTTTTTTAAGACAGGGTCTTACTATGTGTTCAAACTGGCCTGGAAAATCAGAGCAACAGCCCTGCCTTAGCTTCCCAAATGCTGGGACTATAGGTGTGTGTCACAATGCTGGGATAAAATTTTTACTTTAGAATCAAGGTTTTTCTTTTTTTACACAGAGCTTTCTACATCACAAGCTTTGATGACCCTTGCTCCTGATAATTTAATAGCCATACTAAACACATGATAAAGGGAAGGGTACGATGCAGTGGGTGGAGCTTTAGGAAAAAGGTGTGATTTTGGTTCACCCTAGGTTTGCTATGTGTCACCTTAGATAAGTCATACAACCTATCTTTGTTTTACTTTATATTTTATTTTGAGATGGGGACTCACTGTGTATCCCAGGCTAGCCTTGAACTCGTGGCAATCCTCTTGTCTCTGTCTCCCAAGTGCAGGGATGACAGTGTGCACCACCACACTGGCCAAACTTTCTTATTTTTTTTTTTTTTTTTGTCTTTTTCATTTTTATCGGTACCGGGGACTGAACTCACGACTGCCTGCTTGCAAGGCAGGTGCTTATGCCGCTGAGCTAAATCCCCAGCCCCTAAACTTTCTTATTTTTAAAGCGAAGACTTTAATAGATGATCTTTCTTCCAGAATGTCTATGGTAATACAAGCACAAGTAGCAGTCCAAAGAGAATGTGGATACGTGCTCTGGGAGACACACACAGAACACACATGGATAAGCATTTGTTGACTTAGCATTACATGTGCAGAGGCCGATATTAAGGCAACTTGTGACAAGTTACTGCAAGATAAAGCAAAAGATGGGAAAGCCCATGCCCTTCACCTGAGATACTTGGAACCTAACTAATAGGCGGACCAACTCCTAGACATCGCACTGAAGAGTAATCATGTAAAAGTGTAATGGCATAACTGACATAGTCTGGATTCAGAGGGCAGATGCAGTGTGAGGACTGGCATCTGGTCTCAGAGTCCTGGCCAAAATCCCCAATCTCCCAAACTAGTGTACGGCAAAAGCTTAAATAAAGTAGTGTGACTTTAGGGCTCCAGAAGGATCAAAACCCTCTAGCAGAGTTCAAGATTCTGGGGGCTTTAGACAACAAATGTCTCTGGGCAGCCCGTATTTATTTAGTTTTTCAAACAAGGAAGGGGTTAGAGTGGAAAATGCAGGAAACTGAGCAGGATCTTGGGAGTGGTTCAAGAACTTTTGCAAGTAACAGATTATGCTAATTTAGGAGAAGTATCTTATGTTAATTTAGGAGAAGTATCTTGGGAGAACTCTCAAGGTTGACCTTCACTACCGGAGTGAAATGCCTGCAGCTACCACCTCCATCTGTCACTGGGGTTGGAGCCAGGTGTCCTCAGCTGTGGCCTGTCTTGCCTTTTGAGGCATCTCTTTGTACTACGGTCAGCCATGCCTCAGCAACGCGACAGCCCTGCACGTGTGTTCAATTTCCAGCCTCAGCAGCTCCCAACAGAGCACTTACCACTTATTCTGAAATGATGATCACAGAACACAAAAACACAGAGGATGTTTAATGAACAAAGGTCAAATTGCAAAAAGAAACGAAATAAACAACTCCATGGCTGGCTCCAGTTTCACTCTCCACCCGCCAGCCATGTCTTCAGCAGCCAGAGACTCAGCCCGGGGACAGAAGAATGAGAATCCCAGAGGCCAGACGGGTTGCTGCGATCAACAGTGAAGGCCATATTCTTTTTAAATTTCATTTTATTTTTGTCTTTTTGAGTCATGGTCTCACTATACAGTTTAGGTGGGCCTTGGGCTTACTTTGTAGTCCAGGTTGGGCTCGAACTTGCAACGATCCTCCTGCCTCAGGCTCCCGAATGCTGGGATTACAGGTGTGAGCCACCATACCTGGCTAAAAACTGTACTCTTAAAAGAGTTTTATAGCAGGGACAGTTTTCCCCCTACAGTAGTTCCCAGAATGCCTAAAATTATGTTCTATGCTCCCTCCTCAAACGTGAAGGGAAGAGCAGGAGGAGAAGGAAGGAGAGAGGAAAGAAGGATGGAAGGCAAGGAAAGCTAAGGGAACTTCCCTTGACTCTGCAAGGCCCAGAGCTTTTGGCCAGTTCTCCTGCCTCGGTTCTTCCCAACAACACTGTGCTAGACCAGCTCCACCAGGGGAAGCCTCCCAGTGCAAAAACACAGGGGAGGGGGACACTGGTGCCTCTCTGGTCCATTTGCAGGAAAACTGTGGGAAAAGACTTCTCAGCTTGTATTTTTCACAAGT